GAAAGTTGTGTGCGAGGATGGCGTAAAAAGGCATAAATACTCTGGTTGAGGCAACCTGACAGGCAGCAAGTAAGTAGCGCAGCAAGCGGTTGCAAGCGTCGCCGTCTGTTAGGCGAACCAGTGCGTTTCGTTTTTTGGAGGCACCTTTTGTCGCTGCGTACTGTGAGTTTTCAGCACTAGGCAGTAAGTGAAAGGAGACGGGCACGTGAACCCAAAACTTCAAGCTTTCTTGTCAGCTAAGTGTGCGAGTGAGCGATGAAAGGCTATTTTTAAGTTCTTTTAAGGAGACTGCATCACCGAGAACATGAAATCGAATATGACAATGTATGGTGAAAAGAAAGAAGATTTTGTGAAAATTGAGTTGTACTCGTGAATTTTCGAACAGGCATCACTTGTTCGCCGTCAGGCTAAATGAAACGTGAGGGCTGGGAATGTCGCACTAGAGGTTTTGCTCAATCCCACCCTGATCGTTGTAACCTCTGCCCACAAAACCCCTAGTGCGACATTCCCAGCCCTCACGTTTCATTTAGTCTGACGACGAACAAGTGATACCTCTTCGAACACTCACGTGTACAACTCGATTTTTGGAAGATCTTCTTTCTTTTCATCATATCATCTCGGAATAAAACTTACTTCACTCATCCATGACTATGCATGAATGAGTACATAGAACGAAACGAATATGTAAGAATCATTCAACCTTAGCTTGATCATGTTATATTTACTTTATAAGGTTTTTACCTTTCAACGCAATAGCCGTTGTTACAGATAGAACTACAAAATTAGATAAAACTGTTACATATAAACTGAAAGGCAGGCATCCCAAAAATGTAATTTCAAGGAAAGGCGTCCTTTGGTCACATGAGTAAGTTTATTCAGTAAATTTTCGACACTGGATCCCCAGGTCGTCGTCAGACTTGAAAGGAATGTGCAAAGAACAGTGTTTCAAAGTGCTGATACGGTAGTCATCTGGTGTGGGCGTTAATTGGGAGTTAAAATTTGCATCAAACCGTAGTGGACATGATAAGCAGTCGCAATGGCGTAATGGCTAATTGGCAACTG